ACATAAACGAAATCATGTCGCCATGGACTATACCTGAGGAATTCTTTATTGGCAGATAATTCCATTTGCTGGAGTATTATTATATCCTCCTTAGGAAACATTAAGTTTGTGAGTCGATATTCCGATTGTACCAGGGGGAAGGAACTTCTCTAAACAATCCTCCCTTTAGGTGATCGTAAGGTCAGTTCAAGGTTTCTATTTTTTCTTCCTTTGGGGAACATTCCTTTTCTCAACATCCCTTTTGGTAGGCTTCTCGATTTTACTGCCCGTTTCTCTCTTTTTCAATATACACTATGCCCAATCAATAAATTCTTAACCATTATATGATGTTCCCCCGCTATTTTATATCCTTCTGCTTATTCACTCCTTAGCATGTCAAGACAGCTTCCTTTATATCATCCCTCAGGATATGCTATATAGCAAAGAAAATATCATATAAGCCACAACATTTTGTATTCAGCTATTTAAACAGTTATTCTTTTGCCACCTGGGGTGTAAATGTATATTATGATAATGTATCGAAACATAAAGAGTCCCCTGTTTATTCAGATGATCCCCACAAAAACTCACCAATACTTTCGAAAATTTTGCTTAATTAATCACGTGGAATAACACACAATAGATTCATAAAACTATTTGACTCATTATTAAGGGAGGGAACTTTTCTATTATCGTCTATATTCTCATATAGCATTACACTTAGAACTCATATAAAAACCATATCACTGCCAAAATGATTGTGTATTTATTCACTTCTTCTCATTTTTCAGAAGAATCTCATAACTCTATGATGGTGTAAGACTCCTTTATAGGACATGTCTTTATTTCAATAGGCGAATGTATGCATTGTAGAGGCTTAGATTCCTTTATTCATAAAAGGGGTTACGAATACCACTTAACATTCTACATTTTCCTGTGGGGAACAAGCAGACACCCGTTATAGCATCTTTTATAGTCTTAGATACAGACAAAAATGAAGTTACTGTATGACTTATTATACTTCAGGAACTCAGCACAGATTCAAGATATTATCTGTCCTTATCTCTTTGTTTATATGTTAGAAAACAGGAAAGTCTCTATTTCATATATCTATCTTGTCAGAGGGAAAGATCTGCTGCTCACATTATTC